TCAGATTTTAGATTTTTTAATAAAAAAATATCTTGGGAGGGGGCCCAAGTATAAACACAAGATTTACTTTGTTTCACACACACTGCATACATATAACCTGTAAAAAATTTCATATAATATTTTCAATAATTTTGTGTATGAAAATAGTTTCATAGTGTAGGGATTTTCCATCATGGCATCATGTCGGTGCTAAAACGTTTCAGATATTAGAGCATTTCAGACTTTGGATTTTCAGATTAGGAATGATCAAATTGTACTGGACATATCATTGTTTTCAATAAATACACAAACCCTTATTATTGCTAATAAAATAAATATAGTCAGACAGGCTTTAATTTGTAAAGTTGTTGCCTTACTCTACAACAAAAACATCACTGTGGTACAGCAATCAAACATGAAGAAGAATCAATAAAAAATTGAGAAAAAAATCATATTCTACCTCACCCTTCTCTGTCCTTCCTCTCTGAGGGCAGGAGGGGTGAGAAGAAGTAACTTTTCTGGTACTGATAGTGGCAGAATATCATGAAAGTAAGAAATGCTCCTCCAAATGCACTATAGCTTATGGTCTTTAACTCTACTCTATGGCAGTAAAATGTTTACGTTTCCTGAGATATATTAGAGAAAAAAATGGCACAAGACCAACTTTAAGAAATAAACTGAAATCTTAGCAAATCTTACAGAAGGATTGATCACAATAAAAGCAAAAATGATATTACCATTAAAATCTACTATTTAACCTTGAATCAATCTAACTTCAAAATTAGTTAGGTTTCACATTCATTATACTGACACCCAACAATCCAATAATATGCTATTTTAACACACACACACACACACACACACACACACACTTGTAAGGCTTATCAGGATATTTCAAATAGTCAAAGTATAATCGGGAAAAAAATTTCACATTGGCCTACAGAATAATTATTTTAAAACACAGTTGATTAAAACTAAACTTTAGATAGAGCATTAATCTCTTGGATATATTAAAAAACTCAAAAAACTTAAAGAAATAACCCAATCAATAAATAGGCTAAGGAACTGAACAGAACTTCATGGAAGAAATATGATCAATCAACAAGTATTTGAAGAAATGTTCAACATCTCTAGCAATTAGAGAAATACAAATCAAAACTACACTGAGATTTCATCTCACTCCAATCAAAACACCAGCTATTAAGAATAAAAACAACAATTAGTGTTGGTGAGGATGTGGGAGAAAAGGCACACTCATACATTGCTAGTGGGACTTCAAATTGGTGCAACCAATCTGGAAAGCAGTATAGAGATTCCTTAGAAAACTTGGCATAGAACCACCATTTGACCCAGCTATCTCACTCCTCTGTCTATACTCAAAGGACTTAAAATCAACATACTGCAGTGACATGACCACATCAATGTTTACAGCAGCTCAACTCACAATAGCTAAACTATTGAACCCACCTAGATACCCTTCAACAGATGAATGGATAAAGAAAATGTGGTGTGTAAATACACAATGGAATATTACTCAACCTTAAAGAAGAATGAAAATAAGGCATAATAGAATGAAATGGATTTATTATCCTATGTGCATATATGATTACATGACCAGTGTAACTTTACATCACATACAATCAGAAGAATGAGAAGTTATACTCCATTTATGTATGATGTGTCAGAATGCATTCTACTGTCATGTATTAGAAGAAATTTAAAAAAAATTACAAAACCCCTAAACTTTAGCAAAACATCCAGCTATTTTCCAGTTATAAATAAAAATAGTAACAGTTAAAAACAGTAAGAAGAGAACTCTTCTGGAAATTACAACATTTTCCAAATTCACATTCTTTTCTTAGTGCAATTTGTTTCCATTTTATGTCTGTCATCTGATTTTTCTATAATAAAACATCACTCCATTCTTCTCATAATAGTTAATAAAATAAAGCTAAAGAAAGAAAATGTATTCTCAAAAGTTAAAGACTACTATTTGGGGTGGAGAAACATTTTTATACAGAGTTCCAGTGACCTCTACTCAGTGAACAGGATAAAACTTATCAGTTAATATAAAATTTAAAGCATATTCTAAATTTCTAGTTGGATTTTTTTAATATAAACTTAATTTATAGAGATGCACTTATTTTAATATTCTGCAATGTCAAAAGTGGGATTTAATCATTTTGTTTTCTGAAAAACTAAAGTCTTAATCATGGATTACATTATATTAGTTTATTTTTAACTACCTTCTTAGAAATTTTTCCAGAGGAAAAATTAATTCACTATAGTATTACATATTTTTCTTTGATATTTTTTGATAATGTATCTTGAATATATTTTCTTTCTATAAAGCAAGTAAAATCCCTTTGCAATTACTACTGCCCCCAGAAAAATAGTTCCACAGGTTAGTGGATATGAGCAGGGTTCTACAGTGGAATTCACTACTATAAAAATTCAACACAAGAGTGCTTTATTTTCTCAATACAGAGCCATACACTGTTGAGAAAACCAAAATGAAAAGAAAATGAATTCATTCGAAAGAGCATTTATATAAGTTTGAAAAGGAACAAAAGACCACTGGTTGGAGATACATAAAATGCTTCTGGTACCCATTATTAACAAGGGAAATGAGATAGCAAATAGTTTAGAAGAATTCAAAGGAAATAATAAAAAAAATATTACGGCATTAGTATATATGGCTAGTAAAAAAAAATCAAATGTTTTTAAATTTTAGAGATACATTTAAAAGAATAAAGAAAATAAGAAAAAAAGATTCTGTGCCTAGGATGACAAATTTGGGGCTTGAGTGTTAATGCCTGTCAGATATGACTAATTGATTATTGAGTATTTGTAGCTGATTTTGGAATCTTTCTCAGCACATACCACGGAGAGCCACTACCAATCACTAAAAATTGGCACTAATACTGAAACCTATTCGTCAAACCTGCTCTCAGTGACATGGTTCAAGATGTTCAATTGGGAAACCTTCCCAGCTGATAAATGGCACAGGACTGTGCACAAGCTGCTAAGATATGTCTTCAAGCAAAAACTGGCTTACAAAAATTTGTGAATGCATGAAAAAACCTTTTTAAAAAGCAAAACGGAAAAATAACACTATAGTGAATATTGTTATGATTGGACACAGGGATAAATCTTTAAAAAAACTAATTGCCACCTACAATCTAAAATGGTTTCAATTCCGATTTAAAAAGAAAGAAAGAAAGAACAGTCTCATCTATTTGTGAGGAAAGTAATCACTACAAGTAGTAAGAAATTACAACAATGATTCCCTCAATTGCCATGTATCAGAAAGTAAAGAATTTTGTTGGCAATTGAAAATTTAACAGAATAATTTCAATAATTTGAGTATTATGGCTTAAAGTCATAAATGGCCTAACAGTCTAAAAAATTTGTGACCAAATGAATAACTACAGTAAAGAATGTGATGAGATATTTGATATACAATATACCTCAATATCTTAGCAAAAAAATTGCAAAATTTCTATGAAAGGAAAAATACTTTATATTAACAAAAGTGTTTATTTCTAATGACATCAATTAAAATGCAAATCTTATCTAAACTCAAATGCTTTTTAAGTCTTCAAAAATAAAATCTTAAGCCAGGTGTGGTGGCACATGCCTGTAACCCCAGCAGCTCAGGAGGCTGAGGCAGGAGGATCTCAAATTCAAAGCCAGCCTCAGCAACTTACCAAGGCCCTAAGCAATTCAGTGAGACCCTGTCTCTAAA